TTAATATACAAGAAAATTCAATTATAAGTGAAATGCTTCGGAAAACACAAATTAACCAGTTTTTCTATGTTTAGAAATTTGAGCGTCTTGTTTTTTCCTATATTGTTAGTGTTGTTTTTTTATGACCTCAGAAATTATTACTTTATTGTACTTTTATCAAAACTTCAAATATGATAGCAATAAAGATTATTTTCTATTATTACAACTTTATGCAGTCCCAAGTTCTCTACTTGTTTTTAGTTCCATAGAGACTATATTTTAATCTCGTTCTTACACATACAGCCAACTGATTGAGAAACGTGACAAGCGCCTGTGGTCAGAACCAGGTTTTAAGAAGCTGGTTATAGCGCCTCGTGACCTCAAAACCTTGCACAGATCGCACACACTCATGTACAACCAGCCACGTTGATCCAGCACTGCAGCCGACTGCGGTCGTAACCCCGGTGTCGTGATATACATGTACATCGCACATCGTGTAATGCATCACCGATAACCTCAATGAATCCAGGGAGATCAAACGCCGTCCATACATTTAATTACAATAACATTCAGAACTGTAGTGGGTCTCGCCCGGTTTATAGAGTCGTCCACGTGGTGCGATGAACGCGACATGCCCCACGCCTCGAACTTTCCATAGCATACGTACTCACCTTGTAATAGAGTATCCCTAATTCCTTGAGATAGTCCAAGTCTACCATCTGTGGTGGTTCAGTCATATGTGGCAGACGCTTATCGGCGTCACTTTCATCCATAATCCACGCACGAACCATGATGAAAGTAGTACTACGAATGTTCTAGCAAAACACAACAGTGAACTCTCTGCGGGTGCAACGAGTATTTATGTCGGAGAGATCTACACTGTGTTTACTGCTCATGCGCACGTTTACCACGTGGCATTTTTAAAAGGGTAACTGACCTCAATTGTCCTTTGCTGTCGGTGGTTCACAAAAACACCGAATGTATCCCAGGATACCATTCACTTCCATAACATGTTGCACTCCAATCAGATTTCCATAGACGACAATTACTAAAAAAATGTTTCAAAGATAAAAATATTTGTTTTTACGCTTCATAAACATAAAAAAATACACCCCACCAGTACCGGATAACAGTAACAATATTTTAGGTCAAAATCTGTTTACAAATATTCGTTTTAGTATTAATCAACATGTTAATCTTTTTGGTTTACTGTCAATTTTTTAGAAAAACAGTAAAATAATATGCATAAAATGCCATTTCAATATATTGTCAATTATTTAAAGCAGGGGAGTCGTCACCTGCGCATGCGTCAGATGGCCATAGCGTGTCATTGTTTACAAACAAGCGTGTGTTGTTATCGTCGCTTGGGACTCAATTCCCGCCGTAAGACACTACCTCTTTTTACCATATGAGCCCAAGTTTGAGATATTAAAGCGCGGTAGTCGTCGCGCTGCGCATGTGCGAGATACATGGGTCTCATATAAACAAAGATGGCGACTTTGACTGTTGTGCAGATCAACGAGTACGAACTGAGACGTTTCCAA